ATATGATCATAGATCAACTCATCAAAAATGAATCTTTCAGTCAGAGGGATTTAAATACTTCTTGCAAAAAAACCCCAAAAACCTGTAAGTTTCAACTTCTTGAAAACTAAGTTAGGGTTTGTCACTTTGTGTTCAGAGATCACAAAGGAAGATAACTGATCCAAGATTACAAAATTTAAGGCTCAGTATTTGTAATCTATATTTCATTCCCCCACCAAAAAAAAAAAAATCACAATCACATGGGAACATTAAAATTTGTTAGTTCCGACTAATAAAAATTCTAATAATGCTAAAATAACCACTATTATGTTTATTTACAGTACTCTTGCTCCATAGAACTATGTTCCATTTAAAAGTCATTACAGCCTTAAGAGATTGGTTATTATTTTGTATGTTGAAGAAAAGAGAATCCAGTGGCTTGGAGAGCTGGCAATATCTGGAACAAGGAAGATGGACATGGTCAGATGCAATGTTCTAGCACAGTCCATTAGTCCATTTACCAACCCAAAGTCCTYAATCATTAATTTAATTTTAGACTCCTGAGATATAAAGCAATCTAACACAATCCACCATGAGTATATTTATATATGCCCAGATGTAGGGCAGCTTAATCTGGTCAAATTCAATATGGAAGAAGGAGTGGGGAAAGAGGAGGAAGAGAAGAAGGAAAGAGGGGATGACAAGGACAGAGCTCTCCATATATGGCATAAAGCCTTATGTTTTCTTTGGCAAGATAAATATCTGTTACTAAACATTAAGGTGCTTTATTAAGCACAGAGTAGAGAACATGGTGGAAGAAGTATTATAGATAACAAAGTGTATTTTTGCTTCTCTCCAAAATCAATCTTATGCCTAAACAGAGATATAAACATGGCAGGAAAGACCTCAACATTTTAGATTAAAACTTACTGGGGAAAAATGAAATTTTCAAGTGTCAGCCAGTACTGGTGAAATTGCTTTYAAATGTATATTTGATAGCCCAGGAATCCTTTACTAATTGAACTCAAAATTACTAGAAATACTCATGGTCATTAACCTGTTGCACTGTGACTTTTAACAACTTATTGGATGGTGTGTTAATCAGCGTTTTGTTCCTATGTCCWAAAGTCCAAGTGAGGACAACTTAGAGGAGAAAAAAAATTATGTTGCCTCAGGCTTTCAGAGGTTCAGTCCAGGTTTGAATAACTCCATTGCTCTGGGCCACAGGTGTCAGAAAACCATGGTAGAAAGCCATGGTGGGGGGGCACTGCCACCTACTAGTAGCCAGGAAGCAGAGAGAGAGGGGAAGGGACCACTGGGAAGATGACCCACCTGCTCCAGCCACACTCCACCTGTCTCAGTTACCACCCCGTTAATTCAAACTAGGATGGACTGATTAGATTACAGCTCTCCTGATGTCATTTTCTCTCCTCCAAATATTTCTGCATYCACACAGGAGCTTTGGGGGGATCCCTCATATCCAAACTATTATCTTTCCCACTCTCCTTCCCGCTTAAGCCAAGTGTGCACTCAGGGTTTAAAGAGTACTTGAGAAGTTCCTAGAAAACAGGATGAGTGACACATGGCGAGACCATTGCATAAAATATTCTGCCTGCTACATTTCATCTGCTACATTTCTTTTGATCAAGACACATTGAGAAAGCAAAAGTGGAAGAGGGGCGTTTTAGCAAACGGGCACTACACTGCCACTACACCTGAGGTTAGAGAACTTTTTTTTTTTTTTTTACCCAAGCAAAGCAGACTGTTACCTTTTAGTAGTGACTGGTTTATTGACTGCTAATGCTTTAAAAATGAGATTAAATCAGGTCCATGGTCTTTATTACAAGGAAGATATATGCCCCTTGTGAATTCTAGTGGTTTGGCAATCTTAACCTCAGCAGACATAACATTGATGTATTCTGTGTTGCCAAACAGCATGGTAAGTGTTTAAAATGCTGTGAACAGCCTTATTGCTTTGAAATGATACAATCTAATATTAGATTGCAACTCAATGACTGAATCCGTGAGCTTATCCTTGTGCAGAATACTAAAGTCAAAGCTACTTTATTTTAATATCTCACAGGGAAGGAATCGTTCTTCATTTCACCATTGAAACAGAGAAGACATAAAAGTGAATCTAGATGGTAGAAAAACTGAAACTGCAACATATCAGGCCATTTTCATTAACAGGGCAGRTGCAGCTGCCTTTTGTAATAGGGCATCAAAATGCCAGCTTGATTCATTTGAATCAGCAGAACAACTTGGGTTATAGACAACTGATGGGGGGGATCTGTAAGTCCAGAAATTCCCAAGTGACGGAAAGTCAACTTGTGCCCTTTCTACCATATCTGAAGCATTCTAGGAATGCAGCTTTGCCTGATCCTCAGCACTTGTTCCACTTAGTCCTCTTAAATCAGCCATAATTATCATCAACTTTCAGTCCTCTCTGCACTTGATACTCATTAATCAGATTTCAGACACCCATCACTCACAAGTCCCCAGGTGGCTTAAGATAGTGTTTTCATGATCAGGATGTCACCTTACCTGTCTCTTCAGTCTGTCATTGCTAAAGCAGGCAGGGTTACCTCTAGGTAGGGTGCCAAACATTCTAGTTTTAGCCAGCAATGAAGAGCTTCCTAGGACAGGGAACTTTTCAAATGGTAAACTCAGGGTAAATCAGAATGGTTGGCTACTCTATCTGTTGGTGAGGACCTTATCACCAGGACATCTTTACTGAGGAAATCTCTAGGCTAAATGGATATGAAAGAGTCTGCCTTTGTTRGTTTGGCTGCTAAGACAAAGTACATAGACTATGTGGCCTATAAAGAAGAGAATTTCATTTCTTACAATTCTAGTGGCTGGAAGGCTGAGATTAGGGTAGAGCAGGACTGATGTGTGGTGAGGACTCTTCTGGGTTGCAGACGGCTGACTTCTTGTTGTATTCTCACATCACAAAGAGTGATGGAACTCTCTGAATCCCTCTGTATAAGGGTCCTAATCACATTCATCCCTTAACTACCTCCAAAGGCCCCACCTCCTAATACTATCTATCACATTGGAAGCTGGAAATTCAATGTAGGAATTTTGAGGGAACAAAACAGTCAGTCTAAACAGAGTCCTTGAAGGAGAAAAGAAATTGGACACACAAACACACACACAATGGGKTTGTGAATCTGAGTTCGAGGGCTGATGGAATATGTATGTGTTATAGTTCTTACAGCATCTTTCCAGGATTTCAATAGGCTTGAACCAACATGGAAGAGTGCATGAGTATGTGTGCACACAAGCACATGTGTGYGTGGGGGTCCTGTCTCATTGTCCCAGTTGCTATTATTGTTGAAAATGAGTTCTCACACTGACCATTCTACAGGAGGAAACTGGACTGAATGAGATCTGGGAAAGAATTAAAGGGCTAACTAAGAGCCTACTGGCTCATTTTTTTAAATGAAGAATTAAAGATTAAGTTTGGAAATAGTCCTTCAAATCTGTTTACCCATTTGATGGTTTAAATTTATTTCAGGTTGGATCTGTTGGCTTTGTTTAATGTTCCATATCAAATTTAAAAAATATATCACAGCTCAACATTTGGTTGAATCATAATAGAAACAAGTAAAAGCAAAAATCCTTTTCCTTTCCCTGTAGTTCTAACACTGCAAGGGCCAAAAGAATTAATTATGAGTTGCCTTCTGATCGAAATAATAGAGCAGACATAGCAATGTCATGGATTCCAGAATATTCCACTGTTCTACCAGAGTCTACATGCCTTCAATATATCCAGATGAAAGAAATATACTGAGGTTATCATCCAGCCATTGAGCCAACATGTGGCCAAGAATCAAGATATGGAAAAACAAATAGAAATTTTTATTTCTCATGTTGTAACTTATACCATATAAAAGGTCAATATTAGTAAAAAGGAATTAATTAGGAAATTACTTTTTTCATATTTTTTTTCTATTCAAAAAGCCCTTCCATGTACATAAGCAGTGAATCAACATAAGACAGGTTGGTTTCTTTAAAAAATTTCATAATACTATGTTGATTATTAAGGTCCTTCAAYTGTTTTCCAAGCTAATTTCAGGACAAAAATCAGTTGAGACCATATGACATGAATCYTTACATCCTTTCTTTGTCTTAACAATGCACATTGCTGATGGGGAAAGTAAATTAGTACAGCCATATGGAAAACAGCATAGAGGTCCCTCAAAAAAACTGAAAATAGGTAAACTGAATGATGCAGCTATATTACTACTTAGTAAGTATAGGTATCCAAAAAAAATCAAAATAACAAAGGAGTATCTATACTCCAATGGTCATTGAAGTATTATGCACAATAGTGAAGATTCAAAATCAATCTAAGTAACATCAATGGATGAAATGATAAAGAAAACGCACTGCATATGCATACGACATATACATGTATATATGTATATAGATTTATGTATATCTGCTAGAATATTGTTCAATCTTTAAAAAAGAAAATCCTAATATTCTGACGACATGGGTGAGCCTGGCAAACTAGGCACAAAAAGACAAAGGATTCATGGTTTCACTTATACATGGAATCCAAAAAGTAGAGCACAGAATACCATTTACCAGAGGCTTGGAGGGTAGAGGGGAAGGAAGTGGGGAGATGTCTGTTGAAAAGTCCACGGTTTCCGTTAGATAAAAGGAATACATTTTTCAGATCTATTGCATAGATTGATGATCACTTTTAATATATATATATATATATATATATATATATATATATATATTGCAAAAAGAGTCATTTTAAACATTCTCATCACAGAAAAACCAAGGATAAAAATGTGAAGTGGTGGATGCATATACTAATTAGTTTGATATAATTATTCTGCAATGTATACATATATCAAAAGCTTCATTTAGCAGCATATAAAAATTGCTTTTCAATTAAAAAAATAAATGTACATTATTTCTACAAATATTATTTTCTTATTGCCCCCCTCAAATAAATACAAAGATAGCATAGGAAAAAGGAAAATAAAGGACCCACTTACCCGCTACTGCAACTTTTGCTATCCGACTAATAATTGACCCAGTCTCTCCCAAAGACGCCTCACATTGGTAAAGTCCCTCATCGGGCTTGTGGTGTCTGGAATGAAGTATGTTCTGTATCAACAGAGACCCATTGGGAAGCTGCTGCTTCCTGTCATCCATTCCCAAGGCTAGGTGGATGCCATCTTTCTTCCACTTGATAATGGGGACTCCTCCATCGGACTCTGCGGAGCAGTTCAGGAGGACATTTCCTCCCCTCATGGTGACAGCATCGGCAGGTTCTGATAGGAAGCGCAGGGATGTGAAAGATTTAATTTGGAAACCTGCAATGAAAGAGCACATGGAAATATGTTCATGCAAGAAGTCTGATCGTTAAATTCCTTTTCTTTAAAAAATATCATCAAAACAGTTGAAGCATTCGAAAAGTTTCCTTGAATAAATAAACTTAAAATCAGGGATAGCATTTAAAACAAAAGATTTAGCACCGTGGCCACAAAGAATGAAAAAAAATTGGCCCCCAAAATACTATGTATGAGAAATTAAGAATTCAAAAATCCCAGATATGGCCATCATCCCATATCAGTCAGTTCTTGAAAATTTAGACATAAACAATGAATCTTTCCCAAATTAAATCAGAGACTATTAAAAATCAACAGTCGGCAGTACTGTGGTGAAGATTCAGGGGACTATTTCTACCTTTTCCTTAAGGTGAAGTATCTATTCAGTTTTTTAAAAAGCAATTCAGATATAGTGTTTCATAAAATTAAAAGTCAACTCAATAGTGTGAGCAGAGTTATTTAGAACAATGTCCAGATGGATTTTAAAATAGTAAATCCCACTTCCAGAAGCAAATAAAACTACTATCTAAAATCCCTGCTAAGTCTTAATTTCCATCCAACTGTTTCCAATGGACATGGATAGCTTAGTGTAGACTGAACCCAGTGACTGAACTCACTTCACCACTGAGCCACTTCTCCAGCCCTTTGAATTTTTTATTTTGAGACAGGTTCTCTTTAATTTGCTTCGGGTTAAGCAACTTGCTAAGTTGCTGCAGCTRACTATGAACTTGTCATCCTGTCTCAAACCCCAGAGTTGGTGGGATTTCATCAGGTAGGTTTTATTCATAAATAGAAATGAACATAAAGAATCAATAGGAGGAATAGAAAAATAATTTAAGAATATTGAATTATTGAAGCAAGTATAAAGTATATTCATTTTGAGGCTGCTAGTGTTGTGTTTTAACACTTGGTTGTTAAATTGAAGACTTTGAAATGATCTCAGGAAGTCACTGGGCTGAGATTTTACTCAGACAGGTGTATACCCAAACCATTCAAGCACTTCTAATTTCATTTTGAACAATCTCTAAGACTAAAGATTCAACAATGTTCATTAGAATCTTGTTTTCAATATTTAATCATTTGTACTGTCTAATGATTTTTTTTTTTTGCCACTGTTTAATCCCATTTTCTTTCAAACTACCTGGTGTGAAACAGTAGAAGCAACGGACATTTTCCTATATGGGTCCTTTATTCTTTGGAAGCAGCATTTCATTTCATTTAAAATACCCACTAAACTAAGTTTTAGCCTCATTATTCTCAAAATTACAACCTCAGTTTCAGTAGCATACTTAATTTTTCTAAGGAAGCTCTTTATATAGGAGCACTTTAGTGGGACTTTGTAAAAATTTTCCATCTTCTATCATTCATTGTCACTTACTTATTCTATCCAACTCGGCCACTTGCCCCCAAAAAAGCCACTAGAACTTTACTCTCCACCAAGTGTTAAATAACAGAATATTTATTTTTATTTTTTTAACAGAATATTTAAACCTCGGGTAAATGATATCAGTAAGGATTCCAAGTGACACCAGACTGGCCTTCTCCCCACAGATCCTTTCCGTGTCCCCACCTGCATCACTAGGTTTGCGTCACTATGACCAAAATATCTGACAAGACCAACTTGGAGAAGGGAGAGTGTATTTGGGGCTTGTTGTTTCTAAAGCCTTGCTCTGGGCCCAGAGTGAGGCAAGACATCATGGCACAAGGTCATGGTGAAGAAGTGCGGTTCCATTGGTGACATCCAGAAAGCAGAGAGGGGAGGAGGGGGAAGGGAACRCAGGGGAGATATAACCTTCCAGGGCACAGCCCAGTGATCACCTCCTCCAGCCATGCCTCAGCTGGCAATAGTCACCCCCAGTCAGTCCACTCAAATCGGGATGGACTAATGACGTTACAGCTCTCACAATTCAATCATTTTAATTCCAGACATTTCTGTGTTAACACAGGAACTTTTGAGGGACACCTTATATCCAAACCATAACAGCACTCAATTATAGTACTGCCTGTTCTAGTGGAAATTATATCAAATTGAGAGTCCAGATTTCTGGCCCCCAGTCCTAGCTTTATTACTTAAAGATAAGTGACTTACAAGGGTTTTTGTAAGTCCTTAGAACCTCAGTTCCCTCATCTGTAAGATGAGAGAGTTGAACTGAATGATCTTTAAATTTAACATCTTGTTGGAAACGTTGAGTACTAGAATAGGTGGAAGACATTCATCATTTGAACCCTGCTCTAAGCTTAAGAGTAAGCTGATTATGCTCCAAACGCCTCTTCCACGTTTACAGCCTCCTCTTCTTCCAGAAAAGAAAAACAAGCTAACAACACCTGCTTAGAGCTACATTCAGGATGAGAAAGCAGAATGAAGTACTAATGTTGTTGAATGTCAAGATATTTCACTAGAATAACACACACAATTTCCATACAGGTAGCATTAATAAGGGAGAAATAAATTTAGAATTCAAGACCAGGCAACTATATTAAAAAGCACTTATTGCTTTTTTGTTCTTCCTGGGGCCCATATTTTAAACACAACTTCATGTTGAGCACCTTATTTATGTCACAGAACACATAATACATTTAATGCAGCTGTTTATAACAGCATGTTAATAAGCATATGTGCCCATTATCACAAATAAATAATCCACTTACTCTGAACCAGGGAAGTTATGACAGTTTTCAGTGCTATGAGTACATGGTTTAGGAAAGTTAAATAAAGATTAACTTTTCCGTAATACAATTACCCTTGCAGTTCTCTGGCAATTTGAGCTTTTTGTACTCCTTATCACAATTACATTTTRAATATATGGCTCTGGAGTAAAAGTACCTCTTGACTTTCAGTAATTTGCATTACTTACTTTTTAGAAAAGATAGATCCAAGCAAAAAGAGTTCTTTGAAAAATAATAAATGTGTTTCCAATTGGTTCCCTTTGCAAAGTCTCAGCCCATGTGAGACACAGGCTGCCTCTACATCCCCTGAGAAGTCTTCCATAGATGTCTAATAATGTTCCACTAACACATTAATTACATGGACTTCAATTTGGGTTACCTACCTCTCCTTTTCTCTTATAGGACTAGTCCCTCTTGGAGGGATTTTGCCCACCAAACTCTATCATATCTTAGTATGAAATAATTTATCAAATCAGTTCATCCAAGAATCAATCTGAAATTCACTACACTGAGTTAATGAGGAGAAGAAGATAAATAGATGATCAAATTGAGGCAGCCAAGTTGAAATAAGTTTTGAGCCTGTAGATAAGAAAGTTGTGGTCTGGAATTTGGGCATTCATGAGTTCCATTAAAGTCCAGTTCTTCTGGGAACTGGGTGAAAGAGGTCCTTGGAAAGCAATAAGATACTTTTGAGAGTTAAAACTGAAATGCCTACTTTACCAGGAGCCTACAGATCTTGCATTAGAATAACAACTGTGGGGCTTTTGTCCAGGAGCAAGCCATTAGGACAAGTTTTTGTTTTGTTTTGCTTTGTTTTCTTGTTTAAGAATCCCAGTGGTAATTACTCTTGAAACCTAAACTACATTTTCCAGCCTTGTTTTGTAAAAACATTAATCCTTTTGGACCTGTTATAAAGTTATTTAAGGCAGTTATAATTTTTTGAGAAATATATTTGAAAGTACCAAAAGCCCATTCATTAAAAAACTTGTACAACTGAATCTGATACCAGAGTTCAAGATAAGAATTAATGATCCTCTAGCCCTCTGTCTTCCCAGACGTTGGCTTGGGAAGGTTTCTAAATCTTTGCCCAGAACGTAGATATAACGCCATATATACATTTAACTAATGGCTAGCTTTGCTTATCTGAGTTGGTCTCAAAAAGATTAGAGAATCATCCTCTTTCTCCTTTTCATTTTACCCCTCTTTCTTCTTCCTTTCTCCTTTATTTTCTTCTGCAAGGCATCTTCTTGTAGGCAGATACAAAAGCCTTCCCTGTTTTTCTAATGAGGGTACTAGAGAAAGACATATTCTGTAGAGGTGACCTAACGAAGAAATATTGTCATCTATTTATTTTAGTTTTCTCAGTCATGAGTGAGCATCACACATAATTCTGCCAAGGACATTTCAAGTGTATATTAACTGAGTATCTACAGATGGAAAAGATTCTAATGTATTTTACAAACTCGCCCCAATGATCAAATGGTAAAAACGTTTCCGTAAGCCTAAATCCCTTTGTGCTTGCTCTCCTTATCATATTCTTGTTCATTTCAAAGCCCAGTCAGTCACRGGGCAGCCGAACCTGGAATGGGTTTTTTAAAGTGTGACATTTTATCTACAATCTCAAACATTGTTGAGTTTGAAAAATAATTCCCCACAGAATCAGAAATCCCTTTCTGAGTCCAAAATGTAAAAGCTACTAGTTAAGGCAATAAAAGCTAAAAATGAAATTTATGAAAAATACTATGGAGATGAAAAGAAGTTCCTGAAAGATTTTGAGATTAGAAAATGTCATCCAAATCCCCATAGAACTTGCTATGCATGATTTTATCTCTTTTTATAAGAGATAAAATTTAATTATAAAAACCCTCTCTTTAAGAGGATGCTTGGAGTTTCTGATAATGACCGAATACTCATAACTGACCCCCCAAAACATGCTACCACCATCTTGTCTTAGAAAACCATGCTATTTCTTACCTAAGAAATACATGCTACCATATCTGCTTCTTTTTGTGTTATGATAAATGAAAAGAGCTGTAAGAAATTTAAACAATTGCATGGATGATGAAGTAGGATCCACTTTCCATTCACCAAACATCAACACATGTGCAACTGTAAGTCTGATCTTCAGTTCTGACAAAATCTTATAATACTTGTGAGGCTATGGAAGGAGCAGGGAATTTGAGAAGCTAAATCAAAGGAATAAATTAACAGAACTTCTAACCGTACCTGAACTTCTAACAGAACTTCTAACCATATGTGAACTTCACTGGGTTTAGGATATAAGAATAAACACAAGGACAGAATGGGTCTCAAAGTAC